AATAAAGTTAAAAGTTATTTAGTGATTGTATAAAGATGTTTTAAAAGAGAAAAAATAAAATATTTATTATTAAAATGAATTATTAGGGTAAAAGATAAAATTTATGTCTACCAAAAAAGAGAAAGATAAAATTTATAAATGTAAACTTAGATTAAGGATAAAACTGTAAAATAAGTATAAGAAGTAAAAAAAATTGACATACATTTTATAGGCTCCCATAGAGCTTTTAACTTTTAATTTTTTTCTTTATTATAAAAAAAAACTTTTTTTTATAATAAAAGCTTTTATAAAAACATATATATTTGACTAAAAGTAAGACATATCAATCAGGCACTAACAGTTATCATGTGCAATACAAAGTCATGTTCGAATCACTTCGTAGTCATATTACTTTCATGGCAGCTATTTTTACTGTGAGGCTCCAGCTTTTTAAGGTTTGCAATGAAATCATATGATTTATGAATTATTCCCTGGGAGATATTCAATGAGTTGAATTATAGTTGGGATTAAAATAAATATTTTACGTAAAAAAATAAAAAAAAAATCATAAAACATATTATAACGTAAAAAAATTATAAAAATGTAAAAGCATTTAAAATATTGATAAAATTATTTTGATGAAAAAAAACTGTAAAAATATAAAAATACAATAACAAATCAAAATTTTAACTATCATAATTGAATCTCCATATTTACTTACCATCAATTTCCAAATTTTCCTGTTAAGTCATCATGAACCATGTCTTTTCCTCTTGTAGTTTAATACTTTTTGGGTTACTACCAGACAGTTATCACCGTCTGTGCATAAGTACTGGAGGTACATCATGTATGAGTCCACCATATGGAATATTGGGCTCAGCAAAAATCTATTCATATACTTTCTTCGACTATCATAAAATTTAAAGCCTTTGAGCGCAAAATATATGCAGAGAGATAAATGAGAACGCAAGATGAGTGATTTGGGTACCTTTAAACAGAAGAATATGACGATTATCCCAGGGGAATGGTCAATATTGTACAAGATCTTGCAAGGCGCAGATAATAGAAAAGGAGGGCAACATAGTCTTTTCACTTGCAGACATAAAAATCCGAAGCAACAAAAGTGGGTGTCCAATTACGTGGCCATAATCTAATAAACTCGATACTGAGCGCAAGATGGAGAGTGAGATTTCTGTCTACACATTGCTTCATGTGCGTCGTGGTCGAAAATTTCTTTGGTGCTACGGATGCACCGTAAATTCGGTGCATTTTTTATTCATATTGTGATACGTGTTTTATTTTTGTCAAATCAATAATAAATAATTTATTTTAAAATTAGGAAAAAAATAATTTAATATAAAATAAGACACGTGTCATAAAATAAGTGAAAGATGCACCGAGTTTTCGATACATCTGTGATGCCAAAGACGCGGTCACCTTTTGATGGGTACAGTTAGCTTGGATTTGATGCTTTGGTCCCCTAAACATCTTCTCTCTCTATCTCTTCTTAACGTGCGCGTTGGGTTTCTTTCATGCTTGCCAAATTGGAATCTCTTGTCCTCTGGTGATGGGTCCTGACTCCTGAGTCACTCACTGGGTGTGGGTAGGCAGGGGAAAATTTTAATATAGTCATATTTGAAATATCTATTTCTGAAATTATATAATATGAATATTAAAGTTTATTTAAAAAATATATATTATTGATTGACATGAAGAAAGAAAGAAAAAATTTAAAATTTATATTATATATTTCCAAAAATAAATAATATAAATATGACCGTCGCATTGAGTTCAATGACGGTGATACCAAAAATGGTCTTGTAGGAACGTCCCATGCCTCTAAATTGACTACCGTCACTCCCTCCAGAGTCTCGCGTGTTCCTTTGTTGTTACTTAACAGTTAACACAGTCACCACTCCCTCTAATCGACTTATTTAATTTGATTTTGGATTTGAGTTTTTTTGGTTCTACGAGAGTTATAATTTTTGAAAATTAAATACATTATTTTTCTTTTTGGACAAATCATATTCTAAGATTTTGTGAAGTGGCTACTTGACCAATAACTCTTAAGTACCACCACTCACTTTCTACGATACTGATATCGATTATTCTATATTAAAGTTTTTCAAACCTAAATTTAAACAATTAATTAAGTCTAAACTAGGATTTTTCTCCTTCTCTGTTATGTTTTTTTTTTTTGAAGACCTTCTCTGTTATGTTAACTACTGATTAGGCGGGTTAAATTATTTTCCACTCACATGAAAATAGTACTGCTTGAATCATGACCCATAGTGGCTGATCTCAATTAGTGAAGATAGTAGTAGTCAATATTTTAAATCAACTTCACCACGTTTACAAAAAAATTATACTGCATAAATAGATTTTTCATATGTAACAAATTTGTATCTCTTGTTGTATTTATAGAATCATATATATATATATATATATATATATATATATATATATATATATATATATATATATATATATATATCTGTGTGTGTAATTAATCATTTATGCGTTTATTATCTTATATTTTGTTGATAATTGTATATTTAGTATTTTATGATGAATGCTTATAATGAATGTACAACCTTGTATATACTTACTATAATCTAAAGTGCAAAATTTTAGAGACCAAATCCAAGGTTTAACATAGAATTTAACCGCTGAAGAATAATGATGGGGAGTTGAGAGGAATAGAAGATCCCTAGGAAGACTACAAAATCTGTTTTTTCACCCATGTTTGTGCTTTAATTTGCTTTATCTTTCTTTTATTCTTTTTCCTTTGGAGATGAGCTTCCTACCACATGGTTATGCACATCAAGGCTCCATGCCTTCATCCGATGACTCTCCCCCTGTCCTAAAATTACCACTTTACCCTTTTTTAATTTTAAAATTATCACTTTACCCCTATCCTAAAACTATACATCAATCTGTCTTCGTTTGACCGTTGTCCAAACCATATACTCGAGTATATGACCTTATACTCGAGTAAATCAAATGTCATGACTCACGAGTTTATACACGAGTATACGACCCAGATACTCGAGTATTTGTTGTTCCATGCAATATAACTTGAGTATATGGGCATGTACTTGAGTATATTGCACGAAAAAAATTTACGAGAATTTTTCAATGCATAGCTCTCGAAAAGTTATGTGGAATAAAAAAAGAAGTACCTAATTCAGATACTCGAGTCAAAAGTTATGGCCTTTTAAAGTTTTATTTTAAAATTTCCAAAATTTTGTAATGCCAAATAGGTTTTGTGATACCCACAGAGCTCCTTCTCAGGTTACCCGATTCAAGTCCAATATAATGAGTATATGACTATAGAAACTTGTTTGATCCAAAAAATCTCGTGGAAATTTTTTTAACTCATTTGTTAGTGTTGGAAAGTAAAAATTTACGGTTAAATTTTTTCCATGAGATTTTTTGGATCAAACAAGTTTTTATAGTCATATACTTATAATATTTGACTTGATTTGGGTAACTTGAGGAGGAGTTTTTCAGGTATTACAATTTTGCGGATATTATAAAACCTATTGGCATTACAAAATTTTGAAAAATTTTAGAGTTAAATTTAGAAAGGTCGTAACTTTTGACTATCCGAATCAGGTATTTTTTTTTTATTCCACATAACTTTTCGAGAGTTACGCGTTAGAAAATTCTTGTACAAAATTTTTGTGCAATATACTCAAATACATGCCCATATACTTGAGTATATTGCGTGGAATAATAAATACTCGAGTATCTGGGTTATATACTCGAGTAAATATTCAAAAAAACCCATATATTGAACATTTACTCGAATACAAGCTCATATACTTGAATATTTGATGTTATACTTAAGTATATAGATATGTACTCGAATATATTTCGCGGTAACAAAAACAAATAAGTGAAATATTTTAAAACACGAGCAATATCGTAAAAAAAGGCCCAATGGTCAATTAGCCCCACTTTCTTACTCTCTGACACACTCTCACTCCACTACGGTTTATTGTCTTTGTTTAAAAAATACATGAACAAAATTCTCTTGGTCAATATGGATGAGAGAAGAAAGAACAAGCAGAGCAAGAAGCTCTTAACTGAAAACCCGTTGTCTTCTTATGTTTAAGCTTGAGATGTAAGCAGCCACATGGTGGCTTTTTGTCCCTTTTATTTGGAACCTTTAGTCCGTAACACAAATATTAAGTTCTCAGTTCTCTGCTTCCTTATCATGTTTTACTTTCTTACTTTGTCTCTCCCTTTATAAATCCCAGCAAAAAAGAGCAAGCATCTTTATTGCCTAATGTACTTGTGTTTATGTACTTATTTATATGTAAATGGTTCATCCAAATGCCATATTGTCTCATTTTTTTGGGTCTAGATTTGATATTAATTCTCTTGACCAATAAGAAGAGAAAAAATAATTTATGACATTAAAATAAATTATATTATCGTTTAGGATTGGAGGCTTGGAGCAAATTGAAGTGGGATTTGTTCTTATAAATGCTTTGGACATTGGGCTCTTAGGGATTCCCTCTATGTAGTTATCTATCTGATTCTCTCTCTCTCTCTCTCTCTCTCTCTGCACAAAGGAATGTTACGTTGAATATATATGTTCTCTCTTTTCTTTTCTTTCTTGAACCACTCAAGATTCATCCCCAATTCTGCTTTATCTCTATGTCCCCTTCTTGGATTTCGAATTTTCTTTTTATATTCCTCTTCATTATTCCAATTACATTATATTAATCCTACAAATTCGATTTTAGACCAAACCCATCACGTGAAACTATACAATTGAGTTTTGAAATATATTATTCGTAGGTGATTTATTAATAACCATTCATCTTATCATGCCAACCCCTTTTTTTTTCTCTGTCTCTCACTCCCTCTGTTTATCCACAACAATTCACATACATACCCTGTACTTCACATAGCCACAACCATTTCAAGCCCATCAAGCGCCACTCAAGGCACCACTTGCTCTTTCCCTGTTCACTCCTTGTTTCAACCATTCCTTTTTTGAGAGCAAAATGTTGGGTAAATGTGAGAAAATGGTAGTCACCCCTCCGACAATGACTAAAAAATGGACACAGGCTCATCTCTCTCTCTCTCTCTCTCTCTCTCTCTCTCTCACACACACACACACTTTCAATTATTAGACAAATACATGACCACCCCAATTTTGTTGTTTTCCTTTTGGAAGAGAATATTTACACTAAAACTCTTTCTCTTTCTTATTTCTTTTTTTCTCATTTTCTTATTTCTCTTATTTCTCACCGTGTAGAGTGAGATAGATGATCATAAGCTCTCGATGGCTTCCTCTAGTAGGGTTATGGAAAAACCAGGTCAAGAGCTTCAACAGCAGCAACAACAAGCCCTCAATTGCCCTCGTTGTGACTCATCAAACACCAAGTTCTGCTACTACAACAACTACAGCTTGTCACAGCCAAGGTACTTCTGCAAAGCCTGCAAGCGATACTGGACAAAAGGTGGAACTCTGAGGAACGTTCCCGTTGGCGGTGGTTGCAGAAAAAACAAGCGTGTCAAACGCCCCACCTCCTCCACCATTGACAACACTGCTTCTCCTTCTTCTTCTTCCAATCCTAGTGCCAATTCAAACCCTCCTTCTCAACCCCAGATCGATAGTACCGCTTCCACCTCAAATCACATCAATCCATTTTTTTATGGGTTACCCACTAACTCTTATGATGTCATGAATCTTCAGTTTCCAAAGTTTAACTCTGGAGTCTCGAGTTCTGGGTATGATCTTCAGCCTCAGCTGAATGCCCTTGGATTAGGTTTCACATCAGGGATTATGTCCAGTGAAGTTAGTCATAATGGTTACCGAAATGGGTTTACTTCAAATAACACTTTCCTTTCTCCTTATAATTCAATCTTTGGTTCTTCTTCAACTTCTATGGTTTCTACTCCTGCTATGGCTTCCATGCTGAACTCTACTCTAGTACAACAAAAGTTCATCAAAGATGGTCCAAGTAGCAACACTTTCCGGTGCTTAGCCCCGCTAGAAGAGCTGCAAATGGAAGGTAATAATATTGAGGCAGGGATGATGGATTCAAAAGAAGTGAAAGTTGAAGAACAAAACAAGTTAGAGTTGAATGGTGCTTGCCAAAATCAGATCGAACATATGGGCCTGTCTGATCCTTCATTTTATTGGAACACAACAACAACTTTGAGTGCTTGGAATGATCAGCCTAATATTGGTCCTTCAGTAACATCTCTGATCTAGAAAGAAGAAGCATCGTTTTGAAATGTCTCTCTCTCCCTCGTTTAAGGTCATGTTTTGGTTCTTTTCTTTTTATTACTGCCACTTTTTTTTCTTTTGGGTCAAAATGGGTTACTTAATTACATTGAGAAAGAAGAAAGATACTTAAAGATGGGAGGAGTTTGGGATCGGAGTGATCATGTCAGCTGCAAATATATTACACTTCAGCCTCTTAATTTTATGTGTCAAGGTTGAGAATTCCTTATATTGCGCTGAGAGGAACCTCGGATCCTCTTCTTCCATCGATCATCGTCTGCACAGTCTTCCCTGTGGAGATCAAAGGAGATCCTTTGATGGATGCAAGTTCTTCATAGTTGAGTAAGTTGGTCTTTCATTAATTTTGTAATGTATATATATGCAATGACATGTCCTTTTTCCCTACTTTCTAATGTATTTTGATTAGTTCGATGGCGTGGGGGATTTACTTGGAATATGCTAGCTGCTGTCCTTAATGAAAGGAGCTAATATTGGTTTCATTTTTGTTAAATTTCTCATGTCTGTTAATGGGAGATTATTGGGGGTATAATAATGGTATAGGGGAGGGAGGTTATTTACTTGGATTTGTGTGATTAATGTAAGTGGGGTTGGTTTGGGGTCATATGTTCAACTTTGTGATTCCTCTCATCTATTGATGATTCTAATTAAGAAACTTTGGTCCAGGCAAGGAATATTGCTATTAATTTATTATCTATTTACTTTAGACAATCCACGTTAAAGAGAACTGCAAAGCATCCTCAAATGGTATATGAACTGTACGTTAAAAACTATTGCGCACAATAGGAATTTAAGCAGGATTCAGACTCATATGTTGTCGTTTAGTGACAGGGGACAATTCGTCCGTAGCATTTCAGGTGTATAGAACCAAGTAATAGCTAGGTGAGAGATTAACATTTCACACAAGAAATTCTCCCCTTACTCGTTTTGTTAGCATGACTTCCACTTATTGGAGAGGTAGGACATACTTCATCACTAGATTTTTTCAAAAAATTTCAAAAAGTTATTGACATGTTAGTTTACTACTTTACTCTTAAACAGATGAGTTTTTTTAATCCTTTTATCTTATTTAATAACTACTTTTTGAATATTATTAAATTATACTTTATTATAATTTTTTCTAGTTCTATACACTGCTTTGCAGATGTGTTGCTAACATTTTCAAGCTTTCATTTTGTTTACATTTCTTCAACACGATGTGCACCCACTTATTGCTCTTCTACTGTACTTGTTTTCTTTCAGTTTTTAAAGAAATAATGTTGTTTATGCACTTTCATGTACACTTTATCTTATATTCGTGCAGCTTTAATTATCCAATTATAGTTAATGTTATTTCATTTTCTATATACCGATATTCTTATTTTATCTGCTTATATAAATACACATATTGGGAGCGGTGTGTTTAGTGTTAATGTGCAGCATACATTATTCTTTGAGTGTACACGAATAATGGCTATATATTTCACCTAGAATCTTTGCCTCTATGCAGTATCCACGACCCTAACCACTTCACAAGTTTAGTCTTGCGTTAAATTTTACGTTTTTCATTTTTGGACTTATTCTCCATTTAATTTAGGACTGAAGTTTACACTTGCATGTTCACAGTACTATAAACTATGGACATGAGGGTGGATGTCGCGTATAGTTGTCGATACGCGCACCATAGGCACAGCAACATACAATAACTTTTCAAAAGCTAGACAAGTTTTTACTTTAATTGTCACTTTCAGATTCAAGTTTTAGGGCCTTTTTGGTTCAGGAAATTTTTTTAGAATAGTAAGGAAATGAAATAGATAGAGAAATGATTGGAAAGATAGATAAAGTGAGATAGGTAAAAAAATGTAAAAAAAAATTGTTTGGTGGGAAAAAACTTTACTGGGAAAATTAGGTAACTTTATGAAATCAACAGTGCATTAAAAACCAGATAACCGGTTTTCCGAAAAATTCCACCTTCAAATTGGATTTCTAAACAGTGCGGATATCTATGTTTCTCATAAATCTAGACAAATTGGATAGATGAGTTTTTGGTGAAAAACGTTGAAACAAACATGGTATTTCTAAAAGTCATACTTGAGAAAGATAGATATCCGCTAAAAAGCTTCCAACCAAACACCATCTTACGGTGTTCGAAATAGGATTCTTTTATGTATAGAACTAGTTCCTTTCAAAATGTAAGGAGTTTAGTGTCATTATGTATCCTTCCTTCAAGTAATGCACTAAATGGTAGATTGTATGTGCTAGTGAGCCCACTAACGATCTTGCATAAACTTATGACCTTTTACGTAATTTAATTTTATTTTAACATTGTTCATGATGAGTAGGTACGGTAACAATTTTTTCATTTTTTAAAAAATAACAACAAAAGTGTCTTCATTTTTAATGAATGAATGTTTTTTTATGAAAATATACCAATAAATGTGTAACACTACTTTTTAACATATTTATAAACTTTCTTTTCTTTTGTTTGTAATTTTAAAAATTCTAATAATAAAAATATTTGAATAAGTCAATTGAAACTGCTTAGTGGACAAAGTTGTGGACATGAAATGAGAGTTCCTGGCTTCAAATCTGCAAATACACTTCGTTTTCTTTTACCCTGGTCTCCTTTCTTATGGGAGCTTTCCCACGATCCACCTTTATATTGTATATTTCTTATATAAGAACAATTTTTTAATATATATATATATATATATATATATATATAGAGAGAGAGAGAGAAATGTTATATTTAACAAAAAAATTTGTTTACAAACTATATTATGTGCTATGGGTAGTACATACCACTTGAGCATGTACTACCCATTATACACAGTATAGTTTGTAAACAATTTTTTTTTTAAATATAACATATCCCATATATATATATATATATATATATATATATATATATATATATATATATATATAGGAAAAAGTGTTTGTCATTTTAAATAACAGAAAGTTATGTCATTTTAAGAGAGATACAGACACAGAAAATTTGAATTTTAAATTTAAAAAAACCACTCACTTTCTCTCTCCCATTATTTCTGTTTTTCTGTGTCTATCTCTCCTAAAATGACATAACTTATGTCATTTAATATGACAAACACCAAACTCATATATATATGGAAAAACATTTCTCAAGCAGCTTGAGATAAATTTATCTCCGGTTACCCCAAAACTACGTCGTTTTATTTATTTATTTCCTTATATTAATTGATTCACCTTTGAATGGTTGTGATTCCCTTTTTCTCTCTCTTCCTTTATCACCATTGTTCCATCTTTGTACGGTTATGATTTAGTAGCTGGAGATAAGATTATCTCAAGCAGCTTGAGTTATATATATATGGGATAGGATCCGTTTACAAACTTTTTTTCCAAATTACACTAAGTACGACCGGTCGTACACTGCATGATTAAAGTATGATCGGTCGTACTTAGTGTAATTTGTAAGAATTTGTAAACAAAAAAGTTTGTAAATATAACATGCCCATATATATATATATATATATATATATATATATAGGAATGTTATATTTACAAACTCTTTTAGACTACACTATGTCTGACCGGTAATACATTTTTGAGCGAAGTATTACCGGTCAGACATAGTGTAATTTACAAAAATATGTAAAAAAAAATTGTAAACGGATTATTCCCCATATATTACAAACTTTTTGTTTACAAACTACACTATGTTCTCCCAGGAAAACACTAGGTTACACTATGTTCTCCCGGAGTACATAGTGTAATTTATAAAAATTTGTAAAAAAAATTTGTAAACGGATCATTCCCCTATATATATATATATATGAGGTTTATATTTCTGCAGCTGTTGTACGTGCAGCAGTCAATTACTTGTCATATATATATATCTTAAAGCATTAAATATGAGAAATTATACCATACAAAAGATGAAAGCATTAAATATGAGGAATCATAACCATACACGTGTCATTGTTGTACGTAAAATGACTGTAGAAATGATTTTTTATATATATATATATATATATTTCGTTAATAGTATATAAAAATTAAATGGACAGATATTCCATGATAATGTTGATGGAAACCCCTTTTATTTAGAATAATCAGATACCCCATTAGCTTATTTAATTTTGTATTGTTTCTCATATCATTTTTTTTAATTATTGTAAAGGAAAAGTTTATAAACTTTCTTGTGGTTTTGTTTTTTTATCATTATTCTATTGTATTTTTTTTAATTATTTATCCCTGTGTTTTTTCATGTACGGTTCATTGAGATGGACTTATATACAAAAAAACATAGGAAGATAATTAGTAATATATATATATATATATATATATATATTTATATAAAGGAAAAAATAATTCTGAAACAAATCATAAGGGATTTTTTTTTAACTTTTTCCAATATACTAATATTGTAAAATTTAGTTTGTTCTCTTTTTAGGGTCATTTACTTTATATTTTTAGCCTTGGTTTTTTTTTAAGAGGTCATATCACCTCATTTTGTAAGAAAATGAGAGGGGTGGGCCGTGGGCGGGATTGATATATCTATGAGTGTCCTATCTACATATCGATTGAATTGAATCGTAGAATTAAATTACTAGGAAAAATATTGTTAGGTGCCCAAGAACATTAAGATTATTCTTTATTGAATAGACTTTCAACAATGAATATCTTAACATTTATACTGAGAGAGAGAGAGAGAGAGAGAGAGAGAGAGAGAGAGAGAGAGAGAGAGAGAGAGAGAAATTGTCACTTGAACCGAATTTAAAAACAAAAGATGTTCTAACTTGATTAGGCCTTGGTCCGTGCCCATATACTTGAGACCTGTATTCAAATCAAGTGAAGTATGAATGAACTAATGAGGTCTTTGACCCAAGATGATAATGTTTAAACGTCATTTTATTAGAAACAAAAAAGAAAGTATTGAACAATGGGAGTGTGGGGATGATCATTGACAGCTTCCCAATCAAGCAAGGCCAGTCTTTTCATTTGAAAAAAAAACAGAGAGAAAAAATGAGACCCGTGTCTGCTTCCAGGTAAGAGGCAATCTTTGACGACAATACTATACCAGGTGCTAATTTCTACAAACAGCATAATGTCATTCAGAAATGAAGTTACACAATAATTTGGCGAGTTACGAAATAGGAGTATTCCAACAGAGCCATTTGCTTAACTTCAAAATTGGAATCCACTTGGTCAAAGGGATTTGCCCCAGCAAACAAGTAGAGGTTGTCTGGCACAGAACAAAAACACGAGTTCGAATTCTAACATTTGTTCTTGCTGAGAATAACGTTCTTACGAACTCGGCAAGTGTACTGATCGTTCCAAATAATAAGTGAGTCTCCACGAAGATTGAGAAATCAAATTTATTATAACTATTCCTTTTTTGTCGGATTAATAAAATTGATTTAAAGAACAATTGTAGTTTGTGAAAAACAAGAACAAATTAAGAAAGTAAGACAGTTTTCAAGATTCTTTTCAAACTCAAGAACACAATATTAATGACTGAGAAAATATTTGAGAAAATATTGCGGTGAAGAGAAACAAACACCTTTATGATTTTCACTTTGTAACTTGGATTAACGTTTACATTTAATTATTCAATTGATCAAACGATCCACTGTCTTTTATTTAATCGATTAAGCCTTAATTCCTTAATGACTTGACCTTATTAACTCTATTAGAATCCTAATCC